ATATGCTCCCTGCCTCTGTTTTTGCCACTTGCAAGTGTTCTTGGCCACGCCCACTTCTCCGCTCTGCACGGTGAACAGCTGATCAGCTGCAGCAGGAAGTTTATCCTCCAGTATGGGTTGCACAAATGTGCAGCAGGTGCAAAATATTTTTTAATAATTTATTTTAAATAAAAATTCTATGCTGATCGTGCGGCTCATCCATCAATCAGCCAATTGTCTGTCATGTCCAATCTTATTTTGAAAAACCGCGATAGACCTAGTCCGTGATAAATGAACCACAAAGTTGTTGCAGTGTAATTGATCCAGAAGTACGTTTGTGCTCCGTGCTGCAGAGCTGAAGCTGTCATGTCCTGCTGCACTTCTCTTCAATTTAAATTTAAATACTGTAATATTTTAAATAAACATTCCATGCTGCTTGGATTGTTTATTTAAAATATTACAGTATTAATTTTTTATTATTATTTAAGGAGGGAGATTGGGAGTAACAGGTGATGAGTGTGATTGAAGCCTGCCACATGTCATGACAAAGTTTATTGAACTTGAACTACTGTCCTCCTACTTCGCAGTCTTTCACTTATCGCGGGGCTTCAGGGTACGGATACCTCGCAGTAAATGAAGGACTACCGTATTTAAAAAAAAAGTTTCTTCACTGCTTAAATTCACAAAGATTTTAGGTAACCTCAAAGTTTATTAATTTTTTTACATTTTCCTCCCTAATTCAAACTGTTTTCTTTGGCTTGTCGTAGGAAAGGAACAACAATGAATGCTGCTGAAGTGAGAAGTATAATCACTGAATATGTGAAGAAGAATGAACTGGTGGATGAAAACAACAAGAAGTAAGTGGATAATTAGGTTCTGGTTTGTTCTCGAGCACATCACTCAAATACTATACAAGAACAAACTGTTGCAACAAACTAATAAAAGTCATGCTTTAGCTGCCTGCTGGAGAAGTTGGAGATGTGTTTTTTGACTCAATGATTTGCCAGTTCATCATGAGATTTTGTCGACCTGACAGCTGAATTAGGAGCAGGAAGAGCATGTGAAGTGAGCAAAGACCCTCTGCTTGGGTTCTTAGAACTGTGGGCAGGAATAGAATTCTGTTAAACAAGTACGGCTCTGACAACGGGCTCGATAATGTGATTATGATCCGCTAAAACATTTAAATGTGACTCTGATGCGGAAGAGCCGCTGTCTTTTTATAGCATGAAAGTACATTTCTGCTCTGATGATGAATGAACCTGATTTTTGGAGATGAGGGACTTTTTCTTAAATCTATTACGGAGCTGTCATTGCTTAATAAGGCAGTGTGCTTCTTGTTCAGTACAGAACGTCAAACTTATTGTTTATTTTTGTTTTTGTGTTTTCTTTCACCAGTTTCGTGACCATAAGTCCCAGTCTGTGCGACTGCTTACTGGAGAAATCTGAATATCAGGAAGTGGAGGCTCTCAAATGGGATGACCTATTTAGCAGGTGAAGAATAAAATATTATTGATGAATTGATTGTCTGGCAGACGGAGCAGAAAAAATACAAACAAAAATACATAAAAGAACATTATAATTTCATGTTTACAGAAACATCACAGCCAAAGTTACATAAGTTACACACATAACTGTTTCGGCTCGCTTCAACTCTGTTCTTGGCTCTGGATTGATCTGGTTTGTTTGTTTGTTTGTTTGTTTGTGTGTGTGTGTGGGGGGGGGGGGTGTATGGTTGTGTGTGAGACACTTTTACAGGTATCGAGCTCAAATTAGTAGTGGTAGTAGTAGTAGTAGTAGTAGTAGTACTATTAGCACTACTAGTAGTAGTGGTAGTAGCTGAGCGTCCTTCACAACACATACTCCAAGCTCTGACAGATCATTGGGATCTTGTGCATACGGTTATTTTCATTGTTTGAACCAAACAATGAAACAGTTCCTGGAACAGTTCACAGTTCCAGGAACTCGTCTTAAGCGCAGAGGTGACAGGGCATTCTCTGTAGCAGGACCAAGACTCTGGAACGAGTTACCTCTGCTTGTCAGACAGGACCCCTCCCTCTCGGTTTTTAAGTCCTGTTTAAAAACTCACTACTATTCAGTAGCTTTCAACACCAGATGATCTGTGTTTTGATCCTGTACACTCCACACTGGTTTGTCGTCATTATCTGCATCGTTTTTATGTCTATAGTCTGATTTACCTCATTTTGTATTTTTGCTTTGTGTGTTATCTGTTGTTTTGTCTGTACAGCACTTTGGTTGGCCTTGTAGCTGTTTTAAGTGCTTTATAAATAAAGTGGTATGGTATGGTAAATGACTGTAAAGGCAGCGGGTGATATGCATTCCTTGGAATAATGCAAGGATTTAATTTAATATGTGCAGTTTTTGGAATTGGTAGTTTAGATTTTTTTTTCTCTTCAAATTTAGCAAACTAGCTTTTGGCTAATTTAATCAGCTGCATGTGCAGGGTTAACACATTTCTGTACTGCCTGGATTTAAATAAAGATTTAAATAAGTATTTCATCCATCCATTTTCTTTACCCGTTTATTCCATTTTGGGTCACGGGGGTCGCTGGTGCCCATGTCCAGCAATCACTGTGAGAGAGGCAGGGGATACCCTGGACAGGTCTCCAGTCCATCACAGGGACACATAGAGACAAACAAGACAAACAACCATTCACTCTCTCACTCACACCCAGAGACAATTTAGAGTTACCAATCAGCCCAACATGCATGTTTTTGGTCTGTGGGAGGAAACCGGAGCACCCGGAGAAAACCCACGCATGCACGGAGAGAACATGCAAACTCCACCCAGAAGGCACCTGG